ATAAAAGTAAATCAGAAGGGAATTTGTAGTAAATAAGCAGGCAAATTTGCCTGCAAACCTCTACAATCTAAGGGATAGTTCGACCAATTTTATTTAAATTCTTTGAAAATTTTATATCACTTGACATGTTATGATGAACAAATTTACGAAGATACATTTATAAATAAAAAAAATAAAGTTTACTTATAGCCAACTTTACCTAATTAATTTAGTAATTTGCATAGGTGTCCGGATACTTTGTGTATTATAATAAAATATCGGATTCATTTTTATTCAATTACAAGAACTTCGAGGTGAAAACAGATTTATAACTGAATTTTTTCCGACATAATGATTCGGTTATTAGAGCCGAGTCAATATAACGGTCAAATAATTTCAGATCCATTATGACGTATAATCGTAATTCATATCGAAATATGTCACTCCAGGTTTTGAATCGGATGATCAGTTGGTCTTGAAATCCTTGACGGTTGTGAGACATTAGGGTATCGTGTTGCTAGAAAAAAATAAGCATTTTTAATATTTTTAATCCGAGATATTAAGTAAAATTTATTCTGCTATATAATAACTTAAATTTCCACATGCCGTTGTCCCTATTGACGAAGCCCCATATATATCCGCATGCTGTGTTTTTACTGGCGAAGCCCCACCCCTAAAAAAATTTTATCCGTGATTTCTGTAAAAATTCCGTTAATCTGATACATTTACGGAAAAATAACAGGATAATTTCCATGTTTTTAGAATTTTAAATCATGGAAAAATTTTTTTATAGGGCACGTATAGATCCGCACATTCCGTGTTTCTATTGACGAAGCCCAAAACGTATATATATACCTTGTCGATTTTACATCTTTCAAATTCTTGGCTAAAGCAATATTCAAAATGAAATTAATAAAGCAACTTGATATAGTTTTACTACTTTTGCGGTGCATTTTATCATTTAATTTTATAGAAAATATAAACTCCAGCCCTAATTTACCGTGCCTTAGTTCAATAGAAGGTCCAGTAATTTATCCAGATGATATTCGATTTCAATCATTAATTATTGATCATAACATTCGTGTAAATTATACACCATCAGTGTTAATTTACGCGATTAATGAAGCAGATGTAATAAAAGCTGTTAAGTGTGCTGTTAATTCGCAAAATGGTATAATTGCACGTTCAGGTGGCCATTCAAACGAAAAGTATGGCTTAGGTGGTAGAAATGATACTATCGTGTTGGATGTGACATTTATAAATGACATTACAGTTTATAGAGATCATAGAAATCGAAATGTTGCTAAAATTGGTGCGGGAAACAGGTTGGGAAACGTTTATAATAAATTGAATCAAGAAGGTTTCTTTATTCCGGCCGGAAGTTGTCCTTCTGTTGGCATTGCAGGTCACGCTCTCGGAGGGGTAACGTATTATCATTTAATTTTAAAATCATGCTTTTTAGTAATTTCCAATAAAATACCTTTTTTTTTTTATAGGGGTATGGATTTTACGGCCGTGAGTATGGTTTAGCTTGTGATAATATTATTTCTATGAATATGGTTGACGCCAAAGGAAATCTTTTGGAAAACATTGAATCCTCCAATCATTATTTCGATCTATTCTTTGCTCTAAGAGGAGCAGGTGGAGGAAGTTATGGCATAGTAACGCATTTTTTATTTGAGATTCATCCAATACCAGAACGAGTTACTTATATGAGTTTGGAATTTAATGCGGCTCAAGTGCGACAACTTATTAAGGCTTTTAATGAAGCTGAAGTTAATCCACGACTTGAAAACAAGACTACTCTTAGAATGAAGTTGGAGAAAAAGAGGTCGATCTTAAAATTATCAATTATTGGATTATATTTAGGTAACCGTAAAAGAGCAGAAGCTGAAATAGACAAACTCTTAACTAAAACTGAAACAACACATGAACCGAAAATTAAACCGATTTTATTAGAATATGTTGAACAAACATTTTTTGAATCTGTTGAAAACCTTGCTACGTCATCTGAACCGCCATTTCCACTCCAATCTAAATATGAAGTGGTGAGCCCAGTGCACAATATCTTTAAAGTAAAAACTTTTTTAGTTAACCAAGGTGAAGGATTAACTCGGAAGGCTATAGATGAGTTGGTAAAATTTTTGAATGAAGTTCCTTGCGATACTTCTGCTACATTCGAATTATGGGGTGGGAAAATAAATCATCGTGATGATACTTCTTCATTTATACATCGTGATGTACTTTATTGCATAATATTGACAAGTGAAACAAGTAAAGAACAAAGTACTAAATGTGTTGATAAAATAAATGATTTTGGAAGATATTTTCAATCAAACTTCACGTCTTATTATAGTTATCAAAATTTCATTGATAGGGATTTAGATGATTGGGAAACAAGGTATTACGGTAACAATTTTCTCAATTTGAAGGAAATAAAATTTAGATATGATCCCAATAATTTATTCAACTTTAATCAAAGTATCTATGTCTGATCACCTCGTATGATGTAATATAATAAAAAATAATGAATTTTGGTACGGTTATTACGTCGTATGTTTGTATCACGGGTAGAATTAGCTTTTCCCAAGTAGTATCATATATTATTTACTTTGCAGAAACTAAACATGCAGTGTAGTTACTGAGGATCACGAAAATACATGTAAAGGCCACATGGACACATTAATGTCCAGGGTGGTGTTGTAGGTGTATGTGAACGTGATCGCGCCTATTCATACCGTGGGTAATTCATGGTTAATGACAAATAAGTTAACAGGCTAGAGGGAGATAAAATTCCGTGAACACTGTATAATACTTTCCTCTTGTCAAACTCCTTTCTGGTAAGCCAAATAACTGCACGTTATCTAATAAACTAATTTGAATGAAACCCGATTAATCTTCCCAGTAACCTCTACCCAAAATGCATTTTTTTGTCTTTTTGGAAGGCTGTGGTTTCGGAATTTCGTTTTTTTACGTTCATTAATGAAACGGCAATTCAGTCCATGGAATATGATAGATGACATTTTTACGTGGTGAGGAATTTTTGTAGAAAGGCTGTTTTTATAAAAATATCGATCGTCGTACAAGACGTGTCCGAAATGTGGCTACTTATTTAAAAAAAAAGCTAAAACTAGGAGACACGTGTAGTGAACTTAATAGCAAAGACTATCTATAATATAAATAATCAATTTCTGTGAATAAATCTTAAACTAATATGCTAGACGAATTTACTCTAAAGTTCAAGTTCCATACTCTTGCATTATTTGCTTATTCCCTTTTAGAAAGATTCTTCATAGTTGCCTTTAGGTAATGTAAATTGAAAAGTATTCTGTTAAGAACAAATAGCTTGAGAATATTGTCTTACTTTAAGAGAAAATCTTGTATCATTAGTAGCATATGTTTGACATATAAAGGTTCATTAGCCTTATATTATACAGCCTAAAAATCTTCATCATAGTCTAGGCTAACAATGAAAACATGATTTCCATTGGTCTTTAATATTCAAACTTAACTGTTATTTTCCAGCCTTGACTTGCTCAGAATAATTTCATTGTTATTCACTATTCAATAAAGATCCAGGTCTACATTTAATTAAATATGAACTGGTCTTCCTATGAGTTCGCTATTATAAAAAACAAGGAATTTATTGAAAAAAAAAGAATGAAAATAGCTAGTAAAGAAAATTCTCTACCTCATTGTTATTATCCAAAATTTCTTAATAAAGTATTTTTTTGAAAAAGCTGAGATTTTTTCAAAAAAAAGTAGTTCTTAAATAATGATAAATGAAAATACACATTTTACCAAGAAATTTTTAGTTTATGGATATATAAAGTAAATTAAATACAAGAGAATATTATTAGTTCTAGATATTATTAAAAAATGCATAATCATTCTAAAATTTGATGATAGCTATTGTTCTAAATTTTTCACATTATTTATCAGTAAGCTTTTAGAACTGTTTGATGTATTTTTCATGTCAAATCAGTTGTATATAAGAAATTTCATATTGTTCGCTTAAAATCATCTTCTATATTTAGATAATAATCATTTTATTGACATAGGTACCTAAATAAGTTTTTATTTTTCCTAATCATACTGATAATTAAAATTTGATAACATCTTATATAAGTAATAAAACTTACACAAAGATATTTTTCGTATTTTATCTATATATTGGTAAAAGTTTTAATGAAGCTAAAAGCAATTTGATATATTCTATATATGTCAAATTACAAGAAAAATTATATCTACTAACTTATGCAATAGGAATACAAGTTAGAATTACCCTTTAATATTAAAAACTATTATTTTTATTTTCAGGATTTGATAAAGACAAGTTTGATAAACTATATTATAAATATTATTAACTTAAAATTTACAAAACTAATATAATAATATTTTTGTTACTAAAAATTATTTTAAATTAATGATGTAAAGTTACAAATATCATATTATTATATTTAACATAGATATATTAAGTTAATTGAATCTATAGATCTATTGCAAGAACATTAAAATTGCTCATGTGATAAATTTTTAACTAATTTTAAATATATAAGAATTATCTAATAAATTTATAAAAATTATAAGAAGAGATCTAAATTTTTAATAAAATGAATCTGAGAGCTAATAAAAAATGGTGGTATTCCTAATAGAAAAAAATTATTAGGTATTATTAAATATAATGTATAAATTTCTATTAGATAAATACTATATATAAAAAGTGATAAATATGACTTAATTTTAATATTATTAAATTATTAATAAAAATTTATTAATATTATAAATTAAAAAATTATATTATTATAGAAGAAATAGATAAAATTATAAAAATTATTAAAAATTTTTTAATAGAAAGCTATGAAGATAATGATGATAATGAGAAAAATGATACATAAGTTTTGGCAGATTTAAATACTTTTACATTAATAGATTATTCAAAAAATTATTAAAAAACTTCAAATTATTTTAAAATTTATTTTAGAATCTTTAGTTATCATAAAATATATTGATATCTTTTAGTTTAAAAAAAGTAAAATATAATTTTTAAAGAAAAAGCAAAAGATTTTAATATAGAAAACTTAGTAAATAAGATTTTATAATAAGAAATTATTAATAATCTATATAAATATATTATTTATATTATTTTTTTTTTTATAAATATTTTATTTTATTATTTTATTAAATCAAGAAATATATAATTAATAATTTTGAATAAGAATTTTTTTTTTATTATTATTTTTTAAAATTTATATCAATTTTTATCTTAATAAAAAATTATTAAAATAATAGGTAAAATTATAATTTTATTATTAAAAAATTGCTTTAAATATTGTATACAAAACAATTTTGATTATACTTTATAATTGTGATTTATAAAATTATGTTACTAATATTTTTAAAATTATTTAGAATCAATTTATATCTTACCAATACATAAATTAAGTAAAGTTAAGCAATTTGATCATCTTAGAATAGTAATATTAATTAACATTGTTATTTAATAAATTTTTAAATAACTTTAAATAATATCTAAATGATATGAGAATTTATATTATTTAAAATAAATGTCATTTATAAATAACAAATAACAAAATGATATATATTATTTATAAATGATAATATCATTAATAATTATTATTACTATTAATAATTTATTTAGTATACATTATAGATGCCTACCAAATCCTTCTCAAAATAATTTTATTATACCCTTTTCTATATTTTTAATATAGTTTTGACAATTTTAGCTTTTGTTATATCAAATAAATTTCGTCGTATCTCTTATTATGATTTTAATATAATTTCATCTAAATTTTAACTGTTATTAAGGGGTTTTGTCCCTTATTTATAGTATACATTATATAATTAACTTGTTAATCAAAACTCTAAAATAATATAAGTTAACAATAACATTTAAGTGATTCAAGAGATTTATAGAAAATTTATTATTTTTGCACTTTGTATCTTATATTTTGATTTATTTTTTTAAATTATATTTCATATTTTTAATATACAGTGGCCCACAAAAGAAACGCAAGTGTGATTGGTTACCTTCGAACGGCTATAACTCATCAACCACAAATGCTAGAAACATGATCTTGTACTTGTTTTAATGCCCAAATCTTGAATTAT